GTTGTGTGTGTGTGGTGTGTGGGTTGTTGTGTGTGTGTGTGTGTGTGTGTGTGTGTGTGTGTGTGTGTGTGTGTGTGTGTGGGTGTGTGTGTGTGTGTTGTTGTGTGTGTGTGTGTGTTGTGTTGTTGTGTTGTGTGTTGTGTTGTTGTTGTGTGTGTTGTGTGGTGTGTGTGTGTGTGTGTGTGTGTGTGTGTTGTGTGTGTGTGTGTGTGTGTGTGTTTGTGTGTGTGTGTTCGGTGTGTGTGTGTGTTGTGTGTGTGTGTGTGTGTGTTGTTGTTTGTGTTGTGTTTGTGTGTTGTTGTTTGTTGTGTGTGTGTGTCTGTGTGTTGTGTTGTGTTGTGTGTTTGTGTGTGTTGTGTTTGTGTGTGTGTGTTGTTTGTGTTTGTGTGTGTGTTGTGTGTGTTGTGTGTTGTGTGTGTGTGTGTGTGTGTTCTGTGTTGTGTGTCTGTGTGTCTGTGTGTGTTTGTTGTTGTGTGTTGTGTGTGTGTGTGTGTGTGTGTGTTGTGTGTGTGTGTCGTGTTTGTGTGTGTGTGTTGTGTGTGTGTTGTGTGTGTGTGTGTTGTGTGTGTGTGTGTTGTGTGTGTTGTGTGTGTGGTGTGTGTGTGTGTGTGTGTGTGTGTGTGTGGTGTGTTGTGTGTGTTGTGTGTGTGTGTTTGGTTGTTTGTGTGTGTGTTGTGTTGTGTTGTGTGTGTTGTGTTGTTTTGTTTTTTGTGTTGTTTTGTTTGTGTGTGTTTTGTGTTTTGTGTGTTGTGTCTTGTTTGTGTTGTCTGTTTTTTGTGTTGTTCTTGTTTTGTGTTGTTTGTTTGTGTGTGTTTTTGTGTTTGGTTGTTGTGTTCTGTTTTGTTTTGTGTTTGTTTTTGTCTTTGTGTTTGTTTTGTGTGTGTGTTGTGTGTTGTGTGTTGTGTGTGTCTGTGTGTGTGTTGTGTGTGTGTGTGTGTGTTGTGTGTGTGTGTGTGTTTCTGTTGTGTGTGTGTTGTGTTGTGGTGTGTGTGTGTGTTGTGTGTGTGTGTTGTCTGTGTGTGTGTGTGTGTGTGTGTGTGTGTTGTGTGTGTGTTCTGTTGTGTCTGTGTGTGTGTGTGTGTGTGTGTGTGTTGTGTGTGTTGTGTGTGTGTCTGTCTGTGTGTGTGTGTGTGTGTGTGTGTTTGTGTGTGTGTCTGTTGTGTGTCTGTTTCGTTGTGTGTGTGTGGTGTGTCTGTGTGTTGTGTTTGTGTGTGTGTTGTGTTGTCTCTGTGATTTTGTGTGTTGTGTGGTCTTGTGTGTTGTGTGTGTTGTTCTGTGTTGTGTGTGTGTTTCTGTTGTCTGTCTTGATGTTCTGTGTGTGTGTGTCTGTTGTGTGTCTGTGTGTGTGTGTCTGTTGTTGTGTGTCTGTGTGTCTGTCTTTGTGTGTGTGTTGTGTCTTGTTGTTGTGGTGTTTGTGTTTGCTGTACTTTGGTGTGTGTGTGTGTCTGATATTTTGATGTTCTGTGTCTTGTGTACTTTGATGTTCTGTTCTTGTCTTTTGATGTTTTGTTTCTTGATATTTTGATGTGTTGTTTCTGAGTGTCTGTATTTCGTTTTTGATGTTCTGTTTCCTCTGATACTTTTGATGTTCTGTTTGCCTCTGATACTTTTGATGTTGTGTGTTCCTCTGATACTTTTGATGTTCTGTTTCTTGATACTTTTGATGTTCTGTTTCCTCTGAACTTTTGATGTTCTGTTTCCTCTGATACTTTTGATGTTCTGTTTTTGATACTTTTGATGTCTGTTTCCTCTGATGACTTTTTTGTTGTTTCTATCTGATACTTTTGATGTTCTGTTTCCTCTGATACTTTTGATGTTCTGTTCCTCTGTACTTTTGATGTTCTGTTTCCTCTGATATTTTGATGTTCTGTTTCCTCTGATACTTTTGATGTTCTGTTTCCTCTGATACTTTTGATGTTCTGTTTCCTCTGATACTTTTGATGTTCTGTTTCCTCTGATACTTTTGATGTTCTGTTTCCTCTGATACTTTTGATGTTGTACTGTCTCCTCTGATACTTTTGATGTTGTACTGTCTCCTCTGATACTTTTGATGTTCTGTCTCCTCTGATACTTTTCATCCTGTAAATAGAATACTCCTATTTTTCTATCTTTTTTCCTAGAACTTCTTCACCAAAGATAATAATAAACATCTTCACCAAAGATAATAATAAACATCTCCACCAAAGATAATAATAAACATAGGCTAGATATTATAATTATGATGGTGTTGTATGATGTTACTAAACTGTCCTCGAGGTGGACATCCATAACAGAATTAATATTTGAAGTGTTCTTTAAGATCTAAGGTAAATTAACTAAAAAGTTATAAGCTGACTCTCTCTTAATAGTCTTTCTTGGCCGTTATAAGCTGACTCTCTCTTAATAGCCTTTCTTGGCCGTTATAAGCTGACCCTCTCTTAATAGCCTTTCTTGGCCGTTATAAGCTGACCCTCTCTTAATAGCCTTTCTTGGCCGTTATAAGCTGACTCTCTCTTAATAGTCTTTCTTGGCTGTTATAAGCTGACCCTCTCTTAATAGCCTTTCTTGGCCGTTATAAGCTGACCCTCTCTTAATAGCCTTTCTTGGCTGTTATAAGCTGACCCTTTCTTAATAGCCTTTCTTGGCTGTTATAAGCTGACCCTCTCTTAATAGCCTTTCTTGGCCGTTATAAGATGACCCTCTCCTAATAGCCTTTCTTGGCCGTTATAAGATGACCCTCTCCTAATAGCCTTTCTTGGCCGTTATAAGCTGACCCTCTCTTAATAGCCTTTCTTGGCCGTTATAAGATGACCCTCTCCTAATAGCCTTTCTTGGCCGTTATAAGATGACCCTCTCCTAATAGCCTTTCTTGGCCGTTATAAGATGACCCTCTCCTAATAGCCTTTCTTGGCCGTTATAAGCTGACCCTCTCTTAATAGCCTTTCTTGGCCGTTATAAGCTGACCTTCTCCTAATAGCTTTTCTTGGCCGTTATAAGCTGACCCCTCTCTTAATAGTCTTTCTTGGCCGTTATAAGCTGACCCTCTCTTAATAGCCTTTCTTGGCCGTTATAAGCTGACCCTCTCTTAATAGCCTTTCTTGGTCGTTATAAGCTGACCCTCTCTTAATAGTCTTTCTTGGCCGTTATAAGCTGACCCTCTCCTAATAGCCTTTCTTGGCCGTTATAAGCTGACCCTCTCTTAATAGCCTTTCTTGGCCGTTATAAGCTGACCCTCTCCTAATAGCCTTTCTTGGTCGTTATAAGCTGACCCTCTCTTAATAGCCTTTCTTGGCCGTTATAAGCTGACCCTCTCCTAATAGCCTTTCTTGGTCGTTATAAGCTGACCCTCTCTTAATAGCCTTTCTTGGCCGTTATAAGCTGACCCTCTCTTAATAGCCTTTCTTGGTCGTTATAAGCTGACCCTCTCCTAATAGCCTTTCTTGGTCGTTATAAGCTGACCCTCTCTTAATAGCCTTTCTTGGTCGTTATAAGCTGACCCTCTCTTAATAGTCTTTCTTGGCCTTTATAAGCTGACCCTCTGCTATTAATAGCCTTTCTTGGCTGTTATAAGCTGACCCTCTGCTAATAGTCTTTCTTGGCTGTTATAAGGTGACCCTCTCTTAATAGCCTCTCGTAACAGAGGATTGGATCAATTTCTTTCTTGAAGTTAGACGATTTTGATTTCTCCCTTCTATAAATTACACTATTTTAACTTAAATGTCCAGTCAGTCGGTCGGTCGGCCCATTAGCAAATTATCATATAAAATATATATATATATATATATAGATAGATACCGAAAACGTGACACCAAAGATATAAATAAATGCACATCGGTAATTATTATTTTGTGCAGATGGAATATACAGTGGAACCTCGGTATTCGAACAGCTCCGTACTCGAAGAGTTCAGTACTCGAACGTTTGTTCGGTAAAATAGTCGCTCGGTAGTCGACCGTCCATATGATATGCTTTGTATTATAAATTTTGGCGTCTTTATTGTGCTTCTAGGTTATCTATTGTGTTTCTGATATCAAGTTGGAATAAATGTGATAGATAGATAACCTTTATTACTAATATTAACGTAATTACACAATACTGTATTCGCACCACCACTAGTATCCAGCTATCAAGATGACTCATCTTCCCACTTTGGGCCCCTCTTACATTATGCTTGCTTGCCATTTTGAATTTTTATTCACACAGAAAATAGATTTACTGTTATGCAGACTACTGCGTTATTGAAAAAAAAATGGTATAAATAATATCAGCGCATTTGTGAAAGCATATTAGACCCACCAGATGACGTGTGCTGGATGTGTGACGTGATTTTTCTCTTGTACATCAGCAAAAAATCAAACATTTCAGCTAATTTGAGCTTAATTTCAAGGTACTTTTAGACTGTAAATCATTCAAAATCTTCTCTAATTCTGTAATATATCTTTCATTCTGTCAAACGAGACCAAGAAAACGAGAATACATTCATAAATACCATACGAAAATACACCGCAATGTCACTGTAAGTGTATATTTGGGGGGTCTGAAACGGATTAATCTAATTTACAATATTCCTTCTGGGAAAAATTCGTTCAGTACTCGAACAGATCAGTGCTCGAACAGTCTTCTGGAACGAATTAAGTTCGAGTACCGAGATTCCACTGTACAACAAACTGAAAATTATTGTAAAAAAGTCAATAAAATTGAGAAAAATAAAATCAGACATCTTGAAAAAGAACATATTTTTTTCGAAAACTGCTGTTTATCATTCATTTTAGTTCTTTTCTTATTTGTAATTCAGTTTAATTTCCATGTTCAGGGCCCCCCCAAACCTAAAGTGCCCTGCCCCTCCCAGGTCTAAAGCCAACCCTGGACTTGACAATGGTATAATCTTTATTGTTACCAGTACATGATACAACTTAAACTTACCATAGCTGACATCAGTGGGATACTATATAGAAAACCTTCTTCAGCCTTATTATATGTGTTTACTGTCATCCTTCTTTTGATGTTCTTTGTCATTTCAGACGTAATGAACGAGGACCTGGGTAGTGGAGGTGTTGTGGCGGAGGCTGGAGGCAGCTTTAACAAGTACTCAAACCTTCACTTTCGTCCTACCTCACCTGAGTTCTATATGGACTCTCAACCTCTGGATTTCTCCACTAAGAAGAACAAGTACTCTGCAGGTACCTTCACCAGTGAGCTGAGTGAACCCAACGACAGTGACCACTGCAGCTATATGGATGACGGTCTGGCAGCCAGCTTGATCCACGAGCGTAAACTGTGGTCACAGTCTTCAGAGTCCGGTGTCTCCCTCAATAGTGACTCTCCTGAGCGTGTGGGGTCTCCTAGGTCCCACTGTGGGTCTCCCATGGCTTTTAGTTCTGTTCGTCATGCTCACTACCCCCCAATACAGCATCTTCCTCCCCACGTCCCTCACAGCCCACTCAACCCATCCATCCCAGCCTCCTTCAACTCCACCCTTTTTGCTCAGATCCACTCCAATCCCCTCCTCTTCTCCACTCTCCAGTCAGCGCTCAATAAAGCTAATCTGACGCATCCCTTAAGAGCTTACCTTGCCCCATTCGCCCATTCTCCCACACCCAAGGATTTCTCTACACCCTTATCTCACCCTGTGTGTCCATCCCCTGCTGCCTCACTTCCTCTCACCTCGAGCACTCTGGGTATGGGCGCCCTAGATGCAGGCAATCTAGGGCTGAGTGCCGCTTCTCTCTCTCCAAAGCCAGCTCAGAGCTTATCGCCCAATATTTTGGGAGCCTTCGAGGGCGTGAGAGATGGTGTGGGTTATGGCGTGGGCAGCAGCTCCAGTGCTCTCATGGGTGGGACACACGAGGAACTCAACATTGCAGCAGAGAGCAACGAAGCTTACAGCAGGTTTCGTCAGCAGATGTTGGTGCAAGTGACAGCCACTAAGGCTCGACGCGCTGCCACCTGCCGCAAGACTTCTCATAGCAGCAGCGTTGATTTTGCCTCCCTCAGGGATACTTACTCAAGCCACGGGGACCCTTCAAGCCTCAGGGACCCTTTAAGCCATGGAGACCCTTCAAGCCATGGGGATTCTTCAAGCCACAGGGACCCTTCAAGCCATGAAGACCCTTTAAGCAATGGGGACCCTCCAAGCCAGGGGGACGCTTCAAGTTTCAGGGACTCTTCAAGCCTGAGAAACTCTTCCTCAAGCCACGGTGGTCCTTCAGGCTTCAGGGTCTCTTCAAGCCTAAGGAACTCTTCCTCAAGCCTCAGGGACAGGTCTGAGGATGGGGATTCCAGGAGTGATATTAACATTGATGTCTGTGGATTCAGCAGCGAGGTGGGCAGCAGCGCTGGTGATGGAGGCGTGGTGGGTGATGCTGACGGGGACAACAGCTGCGACAGGCAGTCATCCTGCTTCTCCACCAACACCAAGAGAAAAAATAAGCAAAACGGCGACTATATTAAGGACGAGGCTTACTGGGAGAGACGAAGGAAGAACAATGAGGCAGCCAAACGCTCCAGAGACGCCCGAAGAGCCAAAGAAGATGAGATTGCCATCCGTGCCGCCTTTCTTGAACAGGAGAACCTCAAGCTCAGAGTCGAAGTAGCGTCCCTCAAGAGCGAGACTTCCAAGCTCAGGTGTTTGTTGTATACAAGCTGAGTGTTGAGGCTCTACTGAGAGTGCGATGGAGGGTTGTTAAACCCTAACAGATTCCTGAGGATGTGATAGGGTGGCTACACCCTCATACCTTGCTGGGGTGTGTGATGAGGATTGCTACATTCTCACACCTTGCTGGGGTGTGTGATGAGGATTGCTACACCCTCACATCTTGCTGGGGTGTGTGATTGAGGGTTGGTACACCCTCACACTTTGCTGGGGTGTGATGGACGGCCTCTACACCTTTCACACCACTGTGCCTTACACCCATTTCTTACTCAGGTCTCTCAAGGAACCCACAACGCGCAGACAGCGGACTGTGTTAGGTGTCGAGGTGCTATTAACCTGACCATTTAAGACTGTCCCTCAGATCATCAGTCTTACTGCCGTGGTCTGCAGATTTTCCCCAAAATTGCAGTACGAACATATGTGAGAACATGTGTATGTAAAGTGTACAATTGTATAAGAGTGCAAGTAGACGTGTACTGTATGGTACTGATAAGACATTTAGTGTGCAGGTGTACAGCACACACCTGTACACAAGCCCAGACTATACAAGTGTACGTACACAGTGAGGCCTCGTAAGAAACACTCCAGTTCTCAACTTATTTGCTTAGCAAGTATATAGATGTGACCAGAGTAGTGTTACAACACACTCACACACACACACACACACACACACACACACACACACACACACACACACACACACACACACACACACACACACACACACACACACACACACACACAGAGGAGAGATACGATAAAGCTCATAGAGCTAGGTGTGAGTGGACGTAGCGACCAACAATGAGGCGGGGCCAGGAGCTGCGACTCGACCCCTGCAACCACACACACAATCACCCATGAGGGATTGT